CATCTAAAATGAAGACAACACTGCATATATCATTTTTTACCTTTATGCTATGTATAAAAACTATAGTGTGTTGCATTTATGAAATCAATGAACTGCTACAGAGAAAACAAATTTTTATTTCTGCATGCAACGAAAACATTTTGAACTCCGAAAAAAAAGATGCTGGGTTGAAGGTTACTTTCTAATAAAATACTCAATGTCTATTTGAGTCCTCATATTTATGAAATAAAAAGCTGAACTTAAATTATCCACTTGCAGCAAACCAAAAATGCCGTCTGCTTCTGTGTGCCATCATCCTTTTATCACATGTACTGGAGGGTGCAAACAGCTGTCAACCTGAATAAAAAAAGGACTATTTCACTGAACAATGTAAAATATATATTTGCAAAATAATAGCCGATTAAATTATTTATTTTACCCAGTTAATGTGATTTTTGCTCCTGAACCTCAGTGCACAGCATCTGCACATCAGGGCTGTAAGATGTCACCTTCATCTTCACACACGATTGTAAGCCGTCGTCCGTGAGACATGAGCGATGTTTGTTTTTAATATACTTCATGTTGGAGAAGACTTGCTCACATAGATATGTAGATCCAAAGATCGACAGGACTCCAAATGCATACTTTTTCATGTTCATGTAAGTGTCGGGGATGGCATTCCATGTTTCAAACACCAGTCTGTCCGGTTTGGGAAGGTTTTCAATATCATTCCATTGGTGATTCTGAGCAAGAATGGCCTTCTGACGGGCAACATCTTCAAGATTAGCTGTCAAGTGTTTGAACTTGGACACCCATATATCTTTGTCGGCTATGTCGGCCAGTTCCATCTCAAGGTCGGGTTGACTTACACCTGCAAATGCAGTCATATTCAATAGGGAGGGGTCGATAGTCAGGGGAGTGACAGGGAAGGATAATGTGTTTTTTTCCTCTCTGAAGTCACAGAATCGTTTCCCAAACGATGTTTGCATTGCAGTGATTGCAGACTGCAAATACTCTGAATTTATCATATTGTGAGCTTGTTTGAACTCTCTCAAAGAGGGGAAGTGAGACAGTGTACCTCTCTGTAAATCTCTGGCAAACACTGTCAACTTGCGCTCAAATGCCAAAACCTCCTCTAGCATGTGCAGGGCTGTGCCTCCTTTCCCCTGAAGAGTTGTGTTGAGTGCGTTCAGATGCGCTGTCATATCTACCATGAAGTGTAGCTTTTCCAACCACTCTGGCCGTTCCAGCTCAGGAAAGGTGAGCCCTTTGTTGCCCAGGTAAGTTTTCACTTCTTCCAGACACGCAGCAAGGCGCTTCAACACCTGCCCTCTGGACAGCCACTGGACTTTGTTGTGCAGCAGGAGATCAGAATACGTGCTGTCCACCTCGTCCAGCAGCGAACGGAACTGACAGTGATTTAAGCTGGTTGCCATTATTTTATTGACAATCTGAATGACGACATTCATTACTTCTGTGCATTCCGGAGGAAATGTTTGAGCGCACAAAGCCTCTTGGTGCAGGATGCAGTGAAATGTCAGCAGCTTTCTACCCAGCGACTCCTGCAGTAAAGCCACAAAGCCCTTCTGTGCTGTCATACTCGGTGCCCCATCAGTAGCCACTGACACCAGGTGGGTGGTATTTATTTCTTTGGTACTTAGATAATCCAAGACAGCCTCACAGATGTCCTCCCCCTGTGTTTGGCCTTTTAGTGGTATCAACTCGATCATTTCTTCCTGTGGCCCATCAGAGTTCACATATCGGCAGAACAACGCTATATGTTCAATATCACCTTTGTCTTTGGACTCATCACAGGCTATTGAGTACACCACAGCGGAATTGATGTCTTTAATTTGCTGTCTGGTGATGTTTTCTGCCATTTGTATGGTCCTGTCTTTGACAGTCTTTGCAGAGAGGGGCATATCTCTGATTTTCTGCACAATTTCGCTCTTGTTTTTGAAGTCCAAGAATAGATGTTCTGAAATCTTAATGAATGATTCTTTTATAAAATCTCCATCTGTGAATGGCTTCCCGTGCCTGTCTATTTCCTGAGCGGCCACAAAAGTAGCATAAGTAGTTGAATTTGCAGGCTTAATACACTTCTTGAAATGATTTTTGCTTAAATCAGCCTTCTGCATCAGTTCAGAAATGGCTTTTTTTCTCTCATCTCCATCCGGATATTTTTCAGCAAAGGCTGTGTGTTTGTTTTGAAAATGTCTTGCAACATTTGACTTTTTGTTGTTTGCCAATTTCTCGCCGCATATTAAGCATACTGGTAAACCAGTCTCGTCAGCAGTAAAAGCGAATGAATCTACCCACGTACCATTAAACATTCTGTTTTCTTCAGAAATTTTTCTTTTCTTCGTTTTATCCATGCTTGGCCTACCGAGGGAAAAAGCTCAGTAAATTGTGAAAAGCTCAGTAAATTGTGAAAAGCTCAGTAAATCGTGAAAAGCTCAGTAAATCGTGCCAGAGTGTGTAGCAGATCAGCAGCTGTGATGCGTATTTTGAGCAACAGAGCTGCCGCAGAGGGATTCAAGAGCCACATACGGCTCTGGAGCCGCGGGTTGCCGACCCCTGCTCTAGACCAATTTTGTTTTACAGTGCCATTAACACATTCTTCATTGGGATAAGAAAGCAGAAGGGCCATAGTTCCAGTACCACTAGTACTGTAGTGCTAGGAAAACCCATTTGTGTTGATTAATCACTCTTGCTCTGCCAGAAAATAAGGGCAGAGAAAATAAGACAGGTAAATCTCTTCAGCAAACAGGCACATTTCCTAATTTAATTAAGACCATAAGTATCTGAACTTGGCTATTGATCAAGACAGATCCAATTTTTAATTCAGATGGAAATATCCAACAGGATAAGCAAGCTAAAACCAAACATATTAACTCTCTTCCTCAGAATCTCAAGGAAGCCCCTCATTCTGCCAAGAACCCTATGAAGTAGGTTATATTAAAAAAAGGGACCTAGCCCAGAGGAGCTGAGAAGGGGGCATTGAAACAATCAAAACATGTAAATGCAACTTTTTTACACATTGTTCACTTTTTTTCAAACTTCTGTAACACATTATAACCCAAATGATCTCTCCTAAATCATGGAAAAAGCAGCATTGGTGTCATGCTTTTTATTTTCTAGAATGTTCTCTTCGTGCTTGTTATTTCTACCCTGGGTTAAGTCTCACAGATGCTTTAGTGAGATCTCTTCTTCAGAAAACAGAAGCCTTGCCCAAATTCATGAAAATGGAAATTCTCACATGCCCAAGGGAGATGTAACAATGAGATGCTGAGGGGCTGCATTTTGAAGAATTCCATATATACCAGTATATAAGTCAACCCTTGAACCCAAAAAATAGCAAAGCAAATGAAACATTTTCATTTTATATTCAGAATTTTTAAAAAAATCAGGACAGATAATAAAGACATTGTATTCACAAATACAGTAATGTGTATTTACAAGATTGTTTTTATTAATAATCATTAAAAAAAACTTCTTACTGGTTATATACCAGTACTAAAGTGATTAACCGTACTGCATAATTTGCTTAGTCTTCTGAATTGAGGTGGTTGTCAGTTGCATGTTCAGGTTCATTTTGTAGGTTATTGTCATACAGATTCCAGTCTGACTTCCCAAAACTATGTTCTTCATTTCTACTATCATCATCACTGTTCTGAAGGAATTCATCTTCACTTCCATCGAGTTAGATATGCCACTTTCTACATGATTTAATAACACTTTCTGCTTTAACTTTGACTCACGCTATTATTACAATATTGCACAAAACATTGAGCGGTGCAGCACACATCGATCCTCCTCTAGTGAATGATTTCTCACTAGACAGCAGTTATTCCATTCTTTACATATATTATCTTTTAAAAGTTTATTTAAGGACACATCTAATGGCTACAAGACTGAAGTCAGTCCTTCTTGTATAACAGCCATTTTAGTTTTATTTTCTGCCAATGTTGTTTTTGTAGCATTTGTTGTGTGACTACGACTCCATTCTCACCCATCCTTTTTAATTAAAACAAACAAGATTTCCAGTTGGAAAATTTATTTTGGGTCTAGATTTTCATCTGAAGATAACTATAGATTTTGACTTCCTGCCATCAGCCATGCATGACAATGCCACTGTAAACCTACTTTTTCCATGTCCTGTACTTTTCACTAGCACTGTTTTTGAACCCGAGGTTTCCAGTCTTCTTGCTTATCATGTCAAAGTTCACTGGAGTTTCATCCATGTTTCCAATGTTTGAAATGCTGGTTTCATACTGTTGTCTTAATCATATAGTTTATGAAAATTAATAACTTTATAATCATGATCTGGTAAGTGTTTCTGGCTAATTTTTGGGTTTTGCCAAATTACAAGATTTTTTCTATTTATGCACTGGCTGCACCATCCCGGTGTTGACTGAAAATCCTTCCCCTTGTCTGGATTCAGTCTGGACCACTTTAAAGCATACAATCTGATCATGCTTCTTGTTACAACATAACCTTGTTGTCTTTGTTCAAGCACCCATTCTGCAACTTGCTGCTCCCGTTCTGGCCAACGTGTGACTCCACTTCGCATAGCATTTTATTCATGGGAATTTTCCTTAATTTGTCTTCATTCTTCCTCCAGCCTCGCACCATCTTCTCAGTAATGTCGAACCTTCTAGCTGCAGTACAATTATTAGACTCCTTCACAGTTTGAATAACCTTTAACTTTAAATAAGCATATTTTCTTCTTTTGTGGCGATCCATGCGTTAGAGTCAAAAAGAAAGCTTATCACATCAGTTTACAAAACTTTCTCTAGACACAGTTCACACAGATATGAGCCAAGGCATATAGAAGACAAATGTGAGCTCAAGTAGAATCAGAGAGGTAACATGACTATTAGCTAGAACAGTGGTTTTCAACTTTTTTACAGTTCGGAACTGGAGAATATACAAAAATTATTTCAGGGACTGCTAAGGCAGAAAAAAAGTATTATATACATATATAGTATTTTGTGTATTAGTTTTAAAATATAATACCAAATAAACATTCTCTATAATAACCAGAAACCAAACAGTAAAAATGTTAAGAATAAAATATTGAAATTAAATGTAATTGAATACAACTGTAATTTTGAGAGCAATATTTGATTCAAATAAGGCTAGTGCGAAATCTGCTGTTGCTTCTTTTCAAGAATACTTGATAATCGTGGCTGCAGTGTTGTTTCCGAGAGACGAAGCACTGCATTGACAGCCATTCTGTTTCTCTGTTTGGTCTTTATCAGTAACAGGGCTGAAAAACTCTTTTCACACAAATATGTAGTAGAAAATAAAATTAACAGTTTAATAGCTCTATAACTTAGAGATGGATATTCTTTTTCCAGTGATACCCAAAATTGTGACAATGATTGCATTTTATGTTTGGACACCAGAGTAACATCAGAAGATAACTCAATCAGTTTTTGTTTTTCATGAAGATTAAGTGCACAGGAGTTGACATCTTCCATAAAGGGGTTGTTAATCCAGAGGTTACCTTTACGGGGATCCTCATTTTCAGGGTAATATTGGTTCAAGTTTTGAACTAATGCCTTTAAGTGCTGACTTATTATATTAAATATTAATTTCCGGTTGACATCAGCTACACTCAAAAAGTCTTGCAAATGTGGAAACATTGCTATATTTTCTTCTTGAACACGACTATCCCAAAGAACCAGTTTATTTTTCAGCACATCCACCTTGTTTCTCAGTATGAAAATATTTGTGCAAGCCCCCTGAAGAGAAATATTAAGTTCGTTGAAAAGACTAAATATATCTGCCATATACGCAAGCTTAGCCATCCATTCCTCATCCAACAAAGGCTCTACTAATGCAGAGTTCCGCTCTCGCAGAAATAGCTTTACTTCTTCTCTCAGTTCAAAAAGACATGAAAGAACTCTTCCTCTGGATAGCCACTTTACTTCGGTATAGAGAAGAAGATGTTGATGTTGCGAGTCCATACTTTCATACAGTGTTGTAAACAGCCTGGAGTTCAAAGCTCGACTACGAATTTCATTTATGATCTTCACCACATCATTCATCACAGTGTTTAGTTCAGGAGAAAGTTTCTTTGCAACTAAGTGGTGACGATGAATCACACAGTGAGTGGACAACATTTCTGGATGTGCAACCTCCTTTATTTTTGCAACTACCCCTGATTGATGTCCATTCCTGCTTGCAGCACCATCTGTACACACTCCGATGCACTTTCCCCAGTCTAAACCCTGCACTTGAAAATACTCATTAAGAGCATTAAATATCTCTGAACTAGTAGTCCGTCCTGGTAGTTCAAGACAGCAAAGAAGTTCTTCCCTGAAGTTCTCCTCTTCAGTATACCTCACGAAGCAAATTAAAATAGCATGGTTGTTCACTTCTGTTGATTCGTCAAGTTGAATTGCAAAAAATTTCGATTTCTTAATTCCTTCTACAATTTGCTCTTCAATATCACTGGCCATATCAACAATTCTCCTCTGAATGGTGTTGTCTGAAAGCGGTATAGCCTCAAGTTTTTCAGCAGCTTGAGGACCCAAAATTTCTCGCGTGACATTTAAGATGCAAGGCTTTAGCAATTCTTGACCAATAGTGAAGGGCTTTTTTGTTTTCAGTATTCGAAGGGCAACTAAGTAAGACGCTTGAAGCAGCGATTTATCACTGGTCGTCATTTTCTTCATCTGAGTTTTCTGAATTTTCATTTGGTTATGCAATCTTTCAAAAAACTCAAGGGGCTTGTCAATAAGATCGCTGTGCTTCGAACGCAAATGACGAGCAAGTTTTGAAGGTTTCATTGCATCATTTGACAAAATTCCAGAACATACCACACACAAGGGACGTGGCGATTGTTCACTACCAGGGGCTACAGTGAAACCAAATTTTAAATAGTCCTTATTGTAATGCCTAACAAAGTTACTTTTTCTTTTTTTGGTTTCTGTCGCACCTACCGGAGTATCAACGCATTTCGTTTTCACTGTTCCTTTTAAACTTGAAGCAGTCGTACTTGGCTTATTTTCGGTATCATCAATACTTTTCTTTTCACTATTGTTTTCGCTTTTGAAGAAGGTTAAAATGTTTTGTTGTTTTTTTCTTTCTATTTTATAGGGTTTAAAATTACAGCACAATGACACAAGAAATAACTTGCTTTAAGAAATACCACAACAAGTATTTGCAAACAGTATGGACGTGTTGTTGACAGGTGGATAGTATGTATCCCTACCAAGTATAACTTATAAGTATTACTTGAGTGACATGCACCCTTGATAACACGCATCATACCTAAGTCAGTAGGTTAATAATTTACTCATCCCTAGAATCCCTACACACTACTTATATTCATTGTCCTAGACACCGCTGCACTGAATAAAATCATATTATGTGTCCAAAAATGTAATGTTATCTTGAACTTTAATGCCCAAAATTACACAAGTTTATAAATTGTATTACTTTTGGTATTCAAGTATTTGATATGATTGTGTTATTTTGGACTTTAAAGTTTTAGTTTCTGAATACATTTGAGGTGATTAGGTCTTTCACAGACTGGCAGGAAATTTCTGCAGGACCGCTCCCGGTCCATCAGTTGAAAAACACTGAGCTAGAATAATGTGGCACCACGAGAGTCTAGAAGCTTCCAGCAGAAAAATGCCCATATATACCAGCATGTAAGATGACCTTTGAAACCAAAAAAACTGAAGGAAAAATTGGGGGTCAACTTATATACCCAATGTATGACAAACACCAGAAAACAGTCCAAAATTTTGACCATGTCATATGTACAAATCACCTTATACACCAGCAGTGCTTTTTTTGTAAAAAAAAAAAAAAAAAGGTGCCGGAACTCACGTCTTGTTAATCTTTTATTTTAAAAAAATATTCAGTTCTTAACATCAATTTAATTTACTGTATTTAAGGCCAGGACTTTTTTTGTCATAGAACGCACCGGAACAGCGTTCCGGCACCTTTTTTTCCCAATGGATTTTACGAAGTGATTTTGAATCACCTGTCGGCGTAGCAGGTCAGCAGCAAACATCATTAACATAGTGCCTGTGGGCTGGTTTTGTGTCCGCGTGTGCCGGCTTGGGAAGCTGCTCGGCTTGGGATTGGTGTGTGTGGTCGCGCACTGAGTGCTTACTGCCGGCGGCAACAGGAGTTCCGGCAACTGTTTTTTGTGTTTTTTTTTTTACAAAAGAAGCACTGTTTAAGACAAATGTTCATAGTAAATTCCAAAGTTTTGTCCAATTCTTGTCCAACAAATCTTCTTGAGTCCTTTCCCTGCTGTTAGTATCTATGGCTGAATGTCGTCCTCTGAGTAACCACAGATCAATGTACTTTGAAGGATCGAAAAGTCTCAGAGGTGGTCCGACAAGTTTGATGAACAAAAGTGCTGAAATTGTCTTAGTCTTCAACGAGGCTCTTGTTGGGGTGGCAATGAGATTCATCTGTGAAAACCCACGTTCACATTCACTTGAAGAAATAGGAATGGTATTCAGAGTCCGTATCAAATGCGATAGTTTTTCTGGATATGTCTTTTCGAGAATGTATTCACGGAATCCACGAATCATTTCTCTTTCATTTAACTGCAGTCTGATTGACAAGTTTCTAATTTCCATTTCTCCAAATGTCAGCTGAGTATTAACATCTTCAGGCCAATGTTTTTGATCAAGTACACGAGACCAATATGCCAACTCATTGTCTTTGCTATTAAGCAATCTTTTTTCGATTGACTCTTTCAATTTTGTATAAAATGTACTTGGGTCAATGGGAGGATCCTTTCTTGAATCTTTTTTGTGAAGTAAAACTCCACGAAAGCGAAGATCACGTACAGCAGCAACAGCACATTTATAATAGGGCCCAAAGTTCTGTCTTCTTTCTTCAAAAACTTTTACCAGTATTTTTATTTTCATATTTGCCTTGTACAAGTCCATGTTGTGGTCCTGTAGGTCCAAACTTAATTCTGATAGTTCTTGGAGAGCATCACACATCAATCCTAGGTCCAATAAAAATTCTGTAGATGTGATTTTTCTTTTCAAGCCATCATAAGTGCATTTATCATTTTCATCTCTTGTAGGATCATGCATTGCTTCTTCAAAATGATACACAAGGGATTCAAAATTATTCCACACAGCCAAAACTGTACGGAAACTAGATGACATCCAACGCGTACTTAAAATTCTTCCAATTTTTAGCAGCTCAGCCCCCAGTAATTCTGCATATAAATGCAACTCTCTACTATTCTTTGCTGAAGCATGGTATATGATGTAAAGTTTATCAATAAATGATTTGAATCTATTTATTCCTGAAGTTTCTTTGACAGCATCACCTACTAATAATTCTAGTCTGTGATTAGCACAATGCCAAACTATAACAGAAGGAAAATGTTCTGACATCAATTTTTTCACTCCACTTTTACACCCTAACATCACAGCAGTGCCGTCGCATGCCAGAGAAACCAAATATTTTTTTAAATAATCTTCTGTCATCCCGTAAGAGTGAAGACATTTGAGTAAGGAATCAAATACTCCTTCTGCCGTTACTACTTTTTCAAGTTCTACCAAGTCCAAAAACAAATTTATTGGTGAATTCATTCCAACACCTTCGATACAGCATCGAACATATACTATGAGGCTAGTTTTTTTGCTTATTGTGGTTGATTCATCAATTATCAATGAAATTTTATTATTAGATTGAACAATTTCTTTAACCACAGTTTTCCTCATTTCTTCACTTACATGATTAATAATGTTAATACACGCATTTGTAGAATGAAGAATGCGACCCATTTCAACTCCATTCAGTTCTTGCAGATCAATTTCCGTTTCAAAATGATGGAATGATTGATTTTCCTTTGCTACTTTATATGCAGTTCGAAAAATTTTTGCAGTTATTGTTTTTTCGCGAGATAATGATGTTAAAAAAACATTCTCAAGAGTCATTTTTTCGCTTTCAGCAACTATTTTTAATGCTGCTTTATGTGCAGCAGATTCTCTGTGCTCAAAAATTTTTTTCCGAAGTGAGCTCAACTGTTGCTTCCTATCTTTGCCAGAATAGGTTATCTCATTGTTGGTCCATTCTTTGGAAAGTTTCATTCCCATTTTCGTTTCAACTCCAAGAGTTCCAACTTTTCTACAAGACTTACAGCCAAGTTTCATGTTGCAAACACAGAGCCATTCATTTTTCAAGCAAAAATCATTTTTTTGATCATAGGTCCAGCAGTCTGGCCAGTCATTTGTAGTTTGGCTTTGCTTCTCAAGATCAGATTCAGAAATATTAACAGGTGTCGCTATTTTCGTGTGTTCTGTCGTTGTGTCGGTTAATTTCCTGGCCGTTTTATTAGCAGGACTGGTGGATGAGAAGTAATTAGTAATTTTTTTCATTTTTAAATTTGGGGTCAAACTTCTACACTAAAAAAGATTTTCAATTCACCAACTTTTTTTGAAAGAAAGAACTTGTTTACCTTTTGCAGTTGCCACTCTATGCACACATAATGGTCACCGCCGGCAGTAAGCACTCAGCGCGCGAGCACACATACCAATCCCAAGCCGAGCAGCACCCTCACTATCTCACTATCAGCACAGACACAAAAGCAGCCCACAGGCACTTTGTTAATGATGTTTGCTGCTCATCTGCTACGCCAGACAGGCGATTCAAAATCACTTCGTAAAATCCATTGGGGAAAAAGGTGCCGGAACACTGTTCCGGTGCATTCTACGACAAAAAAAGCCCTGTACACTAGTATGTACGATATATCACTATTATCATCAAAGCGAGCAATAAAAAATTCTTTAAATATATCAGAACTAGGAAACCAGCTAGAGAGGCAGTTGGACCACTGGATGATAATGGTGCTAAAGCAGTATTGGGGAAGATTAAAAAAACTGCAGAGAAGTTGAATTAATTATTTTCATCTGTCTTCACTACAGAGAATATAAAAAAGAAACTTTGTTTTGAACTTAAATTCTCAGGAAGGGAGTCTAAGGAACTTAAGACAGTGATGACAAAAGGTAAACTCAACCTTACTGACAAACTGAAATTATTAAATCAATAGTAGTCAAGCTATCGTTCTTAAAAGAAATTCAGTCCAAATCTTTGACTTTCTCCACAAAATTTGTAGCATGTCCCTCAATCAGCCTCTGTATCAAGACTGGAGAATGGCCAATTTAGTAGCCATTTTCAAAAAGTGAACTGAGGAGATCTAAGAAATTACAGACCAGTGAGCCTAATGTCTCTTCCTGGTAAATTTGTTATAACTTAAGGATAGAATAAGCATATAAAAGAATGAGCCCTGCTAAGAGAGAATCAACATGGCTTCCATAAAGGTAAGTCCTGTCCCACTAACCTTTTAAAGTTCTTTGAGAGTGTCAAACATTTGGATAGAGGTGGTCCACAATGTGCAGCTGCTGTGAAAAAGGCAAACGCCGTGTCAGACTTAATTAGGAAAAGAACTGAAAATAAAACTGCCAATATCAAATGAATCTATGGTGCAACCACACTCAGAATACTGTGTACATTACTGGTTACATCTAAAAAGGGTGTTAGAATTGGCAAAGTGCAGAAAGGAGGACTTAAAATGCTTAAGGGTTGGAGCAATTCTTCTGTGAGGACAAATTACAACAGCAGAGATTGTTTGGCTTAGGAAAAAGGCAAGGGGAAACATGAGATGCGTGTTATGATGTGCATAGGGAGGCATATTTCTCCCGCTTCCATAATACTAGAACCCAAAAACCTCCCATGAAGCTGATTGGTGCATTTAGGACCAATAGAAAAGAAAGCATTCATTTCCAGTGCGTAAATTATAGAATTCACTTGGATAAGATTGGGGCTTGGACCAATGTGGGCTTGGACAAATCTATTGGGAAAGCTGTCATTGCATACTAGTCCTGTAAGACTATGTAAGCCAGTTGCTGGGAAATTGGGCAGAAAAGTGCTGTTGTATTCATCCTGCATGTGGGATCCTGTGGGCAGCTAGGTTGATCCCTTTGTGACAAGAATGCTGGACTAGATGGATCCTTGGACTGATCCAGCATGGTTGCTCTTAGCTTCAGCTTGGGAACTGTTCCTAGTTCTTACTTCGTTTTAAATTCCTAATGCAGCTAGTTTAAAGAATTAGTATTAATTTCAGTTAAAATTTTAATTTATATTCTTTAGGCATTTAATCCTAATGTGCATCATAGATAGAAATATGTCTATTTGTCACTGGACAAGATTTATTCATATAGATTTTATTACTTATTTAATATGTTTTCACTATTTGTATGGCATGAATACATTTTTCAAATAATTTGATTTGTATCTTTTCTTTTTTTAAAGACTCATGTTGTTGGAGTAAAAAAATTATTCTTTCAACCTTTTATTCTTTTTGGTTTCTGTTCACCTCAAGGAAGCAAAAGTGGGGGGAGGGGGGTAAACTGAAGCTAATTTTGCAAGGCAGAATATAGTGCTATGTTTCCTATTGAAAGAACTGAGACTTTCCAGGTTTCCAGCAAGGCTGGGTTTGTACCTTCTCTTTAATCATTCCTTACCCAGCCAAAGACCAAGTATTTTTTAGATTCCAAAGCAAACTTGTATAACAGGCCCCTTCACATACACACAAACTTTAATTCTGTCTTATACATATGATCTCACAAGATATTGCTTAATTTTCAAGTTATAGTTTATACAGTTATAAATTACTTTGTCAATACTAGTGTTTGTCTATTATGCCGCACAATGTTAACCCATTTACATCCAGCCTGAAAGAGACTAGAAAGGTTGTCTAATTTTTTAATTAATCCTAATAAAAGCTTTGTTATTTTGATTTTTTTTAATTATCATGGACTGACCAGGCTGCAAACATTTTCTAGATAAACCAGATTGCTTTATGACTTCACTTCTGGGCCTTTTTCTTTGCAAAACCCAGAATTTCCCAAGTTCAAATTCTCGTGCACAATCACATTCATACTAGGTCAGTTATCCCATAGTAAAGTGCTTGCCATTCTAAATCAGTGCTAGCTTACTGACACTTTCCAATTTCTACTTACTGGTGTAAGCACTTTACTAAAACTTAAATGTATGCATCCCACTCCATAAAATAGGAGTGCTTCATTATTTTACAAAAACTGGACTTAAGATTTCTCATATGTAATAAATAATTTTATGTTGTATCAGTAGGATACTTGTGGACATTTCCTTGCATATTTTGAGTCTGTAAACCTGCAGCTGTTGCTTGATGCATTGTTGTGGTTTGCCTGTCCTTCTGACCCAGGTAAGCAGTGCCACTCCCACACATGTTGCAATTTTTTTTCTGCCCACTTTCTGTTCTAGAGCAAGGACCTGGGCCAGCCACTTCTGCTCTAATACAGCCTAACTGGCTCCAGCAATTCCACAAGATCTGGAGTCTGGACATGTACAAAAATACAAGGAAATTCCATAAATATCAAGCATTTAGTTTCAAAGCTCTGCTGACATAAAATACTGATGCAGCCTGGAAGAGCCCACTGGGATTTCTAGGATCTTATGAAGTGTACCCACACACATACTGTGTCAACAGCATATATGAAGAGCAGCATCTAAATTAGATAATTAGCATGCAAAACAGAAGTATCTTGAAAGCCCAATCCAGCTCTATGTTACAACTGTGTAAGGACAAAGGTGCTCAAAGTTAAATATTCTGGGTTCCAAAATGGAATGGAACAAGGGACCAGAAGCACCTTAATATACACATCTGATGGACTATTTTTAAGGAAGGACAGTCCATATTCAAAACCTTCGATAGCACAGAAGTACCAAGAGCATACAAGTAACCTTGCCATGGCGTCACATGCCCCATTGTTTCCCTTGTCAGGAAACATATCTTAGGAAAGCTGGAGGAAGCAAATGGGGAGCCCAGCAGCAGACAATTAAACAGAGTGCATAATTCCTACAAAACAATAGTAGGTACTAGAACCCACCCTGAAACCCTTAAGGCAACCCCCAAAAGGCAACTTTTTCTTTTTTTCAAACTGACAAGACACACAAGTTGCAAACATCTTTTTATTTCTTGAACATGAAAGAAGCAGTCTAAAATATACATAAGCAAAAAAAAGCACATTTCAATGAGAACGGCTCTCGGGATAGTGAGGATCAACTACTGGATCAGAAAGCATTTGGAGATACGTACAGCCAGAAAGTACGGCTACACGGTGAGAACAACTGGATTTAAAAACCTACAGCTACCTTGACCTATGAAAAACAGGCATCTCCTCTTCAACAAACTGAACAAAAAGCAAAGAGCCTTGTTTGGACACAGGAAAACGGTCAGACAATAACCACCACCTTAGAAACAGCTGTCATGGAGGCCCAAACACAGTTGCATCTGTCAAATGTTCAGTTGGTACCAGGACCAGGAATATGTTCAGAATTCACTTTGACAAGAAGTGCTGCCATCCACAATATCATAAGACACATGAGGCACAGGAGAGACTGTGACCTTGATTCTCAATGCAGCTGGGATCTGCTGTAGACCCACCAAGAGTAGTCACATATTTAACAGGGCAGCAGTTCCTTACTGGAAGATCCAATTTGCATCTGGGTTACAACAACCTCCTCCTTGGCAGGGTAGGAGTTAAGATTTAAAAAAAGAAGGGGGGAACCATTACCTTGTTCCCCTTAGGAGGAAAAAAGGAATCCAAGAGGAGAGCAGGGTATAAGATTCTGGATTTCAATTAATTAGCATTTCAATACAAAAAACACAAAGTGTATCTGTCAGAACAAGGGCGTAAAATTTGTCAAGCAAAAAAAGAAAAAAAGAAAATGGTGCAGACCATTTATAACCATTATCTAAGCAGTCAAATTCTACAATAGCTCTCCAAAAAAAGGCAGAGAGGTGCAGAAGGAAACAGAAGAGGACCAGGAGAGTGGAGGGCAGGGACAGGCAAGGGCAGCTTCAAGATGGTGGCTCCCGCATTTCCTTTCCTCCGTGGAATGCTGGTCCATTTACTAGGAGGTGGCCTTTCTTAGACTGCCATCCCCTCATCCCCACTACTCCCATCAGGCTTAGAAATAGTGGCCTCACCCGGATCAGTGATTGGGGAGACACGGGGAGGAAGGGCGGTTTCTTTCAGTGGCTCATCCACATTGATGGGTTCTCGGAGTGCTGAAAACTTCCGGTCGCCAAAGGCAGCATTCAGCTTGGCCTCAAAGAAGCGCTGCAGAACAATGATGGACTGGACATCTTCTTTGTCCTAAGGAGGAAAAGTGATGAGTATCCAGAGAGTAAGACAAGTAGAATATTACCCAATAGCCAAGTACAGCTCAAGAAGGGAAGCAGTATTTTCCTAGTTTACATTAACAATAGGAACTGTGGTCACCTGGGTGCAGAATAAGCCCAACTGTGGTACTGTCTAAAATGTGATGTGAGACCCATGCCAGCAGATTCAGACACTTAAGATTGTCAGTCTATGGACTCTTATCTAGCCTAACACAGGCATATGGAACCTTTCCCTGCTTATCCTAGCCTGACATAGCCTCACCTCTGTCAGCTTATTAAACTGCCTGAACATCTTCCAGACATCATCAGCAAACTCATCCGGAGAGCCATAGGGTGGAGAAAGCTTCCGCTGCAGCTTGGCTCTGATCAAGGTCAGATCGATTGTGTTTTGCCCCTCCTGGAAGGGGGAAAAAGATTAGGTTATTTTTGAAACTAAATTAGCACCCATTATGTTCAGAATTTCCTTTCAGCTCATGACATTTCCTGAGCCAGTTTGGTATAGGTTAACAGCACAGGACTGAGACTAAGGTGATCTGGATTCTAGTCCTTGCTCAGCCATGTAGCCCACTGGATGATTGCAGGCCACTCACAGGCTCTCAGTCCAACCTACCTCACATGGTTGTTTTTGTAGGGGTAAGATTGAGAGCAGGAGGAGGAAATGATGTAAGCTGATTTGAGTATGTTCTAAGAAAAAAGCAGGATATAAATCTAATAAATAGAGATTAATTATTCATCTAATAAACAAATAAACTCACTGTAGCATTGGAGAGTCTGTGAAGAGGCCTACATGGCTCAGAACACAGTAACTCAAGGAGAACTCGTTCACATCTCTGTAGAAATCACAATGGAAAAAGCTAGGTTAGTGGGGAAAGATCTGTTGTTGTCCTCAAAGTTACAATCCAGAGATACAGAAGGCAGTTCTACATGAAAAATGTGGTTTACTGGAAAATCCTTTCTTTCTATCACCATTTCAGTGCTTTGTGAGATCATGCAACAGTTTCATTCAGTGACTGCAATACCAAGTGAGGGCTTCAGTGTCCCACATATCAGATACTGGAGTCGTGTCAGCATCTGAACTAGTATGCAATTTGCATTCATTCACAAACAACGTATTTGTCTATCTAAAGGAAGAAGTGATTTCCTACATAGTACTCCAACAGTATTATTCCATTTTTAGTCTACCTAACACAGAAGGTAAGAACTTCAACAGGGTTAAATCTTACTGGCTATCCAAACATTTCGATGAACTAAATGTCTTGAGCTATCAACTAGTTGATTCATGTCAACATGCTCCTCACCCATCACTGCTCCCTTGGGATTATTAGGTTTACAGTATGTTTGTACTGGCAATAAATGCAATGCACAGAATTGTTATTGTTAAACTCACTCTATGTCAGCCTTGGTTTGCTAGTGCCTGCCTGTCCACTGGCTTCTTCCTGACTGCACTGCACAACCCTCTCCATATCAGAGACTATGTAGTGATTTGGCCCAGTTCTACTTCCTTCATCTTCATGATGAACCTATTGCTTCACTGATTGTTTTCAGCTTTTCCCTTGGCCAGATTCACTCCAACTCATGCCATCGCACCACCTCTAATGTTTCTTCCACTGAAATGTTCTGACAGTATTGCTCCCTTGCCAGACAATCAACCAGAATTGGAGGTTCCATTGCATCCAGCACAGGACTACTGCAAGTCAACATTTTAGTTAAGTTCTAGTTAACGGCCTCATTCACACATAATGCTAATCCATGGTTTATATAAAATACTGTCAGTGGCAACATCCAGGGTTTGTCTGACCAATGATCGAATGAACTCTGGTTTGTTTTCTCAGTCCCTGGGTTGTTTCTTTCCTTCTCCTTTTCCCACCACCTTCCAATAGCACAGCTCCCTTCATGGCACTGCAGTAGTGGCATATAAGAAAACTGGGTTTTTTACCACTCTTGCTCACTGTCCCTGTAGCCTGCTGGAACAATCCATAACAGCTCATAATTCTAATCCCCACTACATCTCAAATTAGTGTGAATAAGAAATTAGCTATCCACCAGATTTCACATTTCTGTGTATGTTGCAACTTAATTCTAGGCAATTAAAACATACAGCAGTTGGAAGCATTTAAATACGAAATAATTTGCTGAGATCAACAGACAAATTGATTTAGAGACAACTTTTGAGATGATTTTTAAAAAGAAAATTAACAATACAGAAAAGGAACAGAATATGTCAATACAATCCAGTACATTAACCAGAAGATATGTTTGGCTATCCCAACAGCACACAACTACTAGAAAACTCCATTACATGTCCACCCCACTGTACTGATGCCAATCTAACAGAATCCCTCCTGTTCAGCATGTATGAGATACTTTCCTTCAGCCCCATTTCTCACTTGTCAGAAATCTATTGCATCCATTTCTTAAGATCTGTATATAGAAATAGTCCATGTAAAGAGTGCCATGCACACAGCTTCAGCTGTGCTAGGATTCACCAAGTCTAAGCCCTCCAATATTAACGACACCAAGTCATGCAGGACTAGGAAGCTTTCATTTTAGTCACTACTAAATTATCTAGCTTATCTACCTCCCTGCACACAAAGGATACAAGCTCACGGGGCGTATAGAATGACTGTCACGGAGTCCTAGTTCTGATCATTCCATTTAGAAATTTGCTACTGCCTCCATCTCTTTTCCCACAATATAAAACTCCCAAGTCCAGTCTCTCTCCACCAGAACGTACTCCTCACTCCTTATTCTGCCTCTTGGCCAAAAAACCCCCAGTACATTCTGGATTCTTTGACCAGACACTCCCAATACTACACCATGTCAGGATACAACCAAGGAATTTGATTTTGAAACCGGTACTAAATTCAGACTGCTTC